TATGTTGGTGTAGTCTTCTACTGGCTGTTATCAGGTATATCTGAATGTGTACAACAGGGGTTTGAGCAAAGCTTTTACCACTGAATGATGCAGAAAGTCTCACATCCAAAAGAAACCGGATCAGATATGACACATTTGGCATTATAGGGTTAAGAAACGACCAATTCTCTGTGAACCGAAAACAGGATTTTAAGCAACACTCACCGGAGACTTTGAGGTTTTGCCCTTAGAGGAAAGTCGGAGAGTGGAAACCTCTGCCGGGTTTATCCTGATTCTGACTGGCTGAGAGAGACTCGGATGCTTCCAGTTCTGTCACTTTTTTAAGTGTTCTCCAGTTCTGGAAACACCCGCCGGGTCACGTGATCACAGACGGCCCTCCCAGCCGTTTCCATAGCAACGCTCTTCATCACGACGAGGATTTAATCGGAGGCAATCAATCAATCAATCAATCAAGTTTATTAGTATAGCCCTTTACAATACCCAAATGGTACTCAAAGTGCTTTACAACAAAGCCATAAAACAATACAAAAAACATACAAAACAACTAAAAATACAGCATTTTTGGTGCACCCTCGATAAAGCGGAGACTTTATCTCTTTATCCCCTCTATCGGGGGGGTGGGTGGGGGATGAAACACGAGACAAAACGAGCCGTTTTTCCAGTCGCACGTCACCAAAACAAAGCCTGACTTGTGATAACTTGCTCTGACATTAAAAACTAGTTCCCGGAAACGAGACTTAAGAATAAGACTGAAAGAAGGACAGAGTTTGTTTTTTTTAATGAACGAAATTGTGTCATTCGAATATAATAATAATATTTAATATAATAATTACTTAATACTATTTGCCCTTTAAGCTGCTGGTAGCCTTAATTTCCTGAGGGAGTCTTCCCAAGGGATCAATAAAGTATTGTTTAAGTGTAAGTCTAATTATCTCTTTTTGCTTAATGGTTTGAAATAAATAGCTCAGAAAAGCCTTTGATCCTGTTACGCAATAGACAGCTACAGTTGTTGAGCAATCCCAAAGAATTCCAGGTATGCAAAACACAGATATCCAAACCTCACAGAGGCCCATTGACAAACCAACCACGTGACAATGGGAAGGCGTCTGATTGGTTCCTGATTTTTACAGGAAGTAATAACTCATTGACTGCCAGCCATTTTCAGAACAGAGAGTCGCTCACTGCCAGAGTTTTTTTTTAGCATTTTGACTGATTTTTCAAGAGCCACAGAATAGTTTGTGCTATGATTATGTAAACACCGAACACACCAAAAGAAAGAGTAGACTCTCTTCTTTCATCAGGAAAAAAAATGTGTTTCTACCTTATTCCGTTCTTCCTGGACTTGCGTCTCACCGGCGACATGTTCTCTCATAGAACCGTTCCCTTTTTCTTATTTGCCTACAGTCTATGCTCATCTCCCATCAAAAGTGGCACTGCCCCCTAGAGGGTAAATTTGTTACTACATACTCTGTCTAGAAGCCCATATTTACGGACAAGCTTTAGCAGATCGTCCCC